GGCGAGTTCTCCTCATAAGCATGGAATGATAAAATGATCTCATCAGTGTCAGGCTTGACTATGTTTCACCGAGTTCATCCAACAACTTCGACTTCAAGTTTGTAAAACAGTTTGCGATCCAAATTTTCTATAACATTACTAAAAAATTTGTTTTTATATCCTGACTGTAAAGAATGCATTGTCATTCTAACGATTTGTATTGTAAACATTTCTGCTTATAATTAATGAATTAACCTTTTATTTTCAAAAAAAAGAAGTTTGTATACCTAGTAGGTGAGGGCGGGGTGGAGGGGGGGGGGGGGTTAATTTGATAGGTCAAAATGTTTTAACCAAGTATCAAATTAGTGTTACTTTTAAATAAAATAATAACAATTAAATTAATAAATTGGTATCGCAGTAAAAATTGTACAATATTTATTCACTATTTAAATGGTTTAATTACTTACCACTTCTATTTTAGATTTGATGGCGCCGTGAAATTCAAAACCGCCATACGTTACTACGACTCTGGTTTTTTTTTTTTTTTTTTTTTTTTTTTTTTGTTTGTTTGTTTGTTTTTTTTTTTTTGTTTTGTTTTTTTTTTTTTTTTTTTTTTAATGCGCTGATAAACCATAGCGTCAGAGACATCCATAATTTGACGGGGTTTGCTTCTAGTTGGCGACTATTCCTTAGCTTCCGTTATAATCAGTCAATTTTTGAAACTTCAGTTTTTCATTGACAACATTTAATCATTTTTTTAATTTCAAAATGAAGGACTTTAGGAATTAGCTAGAATATTAATATTAATTTCATTGAACTTTTAAGCAGAATGTCAAAATATTATTATTGGATAACAATTTTATATAAAAAATGAAAATTATTATTATTATCTACAAATATATAAATACAAATCTAATAAGAGCTAATAAAGTTATGCGCTTAATAGGAAGAAAAAAATGTTGGTGTGTTTGTTAGTTGAAATTAATGGTACATATTATTTTAATTTAAGTATTTTTTATAATTTTCTTCATTTACCTTCTATAATAATTTTTTTCTTTTAAATAATCATGCATTCTATTAGTATAAACTTTAGTAACAAAACATTACGTTAACTATTTATTATTCTTAACTTACTCATTAATTTATATAAGAAAGGTCTTAGGTTCGAACCACATCCCAATTAAAGTTGGCATAATTGTTAAACATATACTACGAATATGTTAAAATGTATTTTGAAAATACAATATAAAATTTAACATAAACTTTTGGTCAATTTATTTTTCCGACTAAATACTTAGCATTCAAAGTTGAGTATCAAAGATTATAAATCAATAATCTTGAAAAATATTGTCTTGCATTAAAAAAAAAATTAGGTTAAGTTTTTTTTTTCTTTTTTTTTTTTTCGTTTAAATAATCTTCTTTTGATTATTGAGAACAATACTCAATATTCAGTGGCGGAGGCAAGTGTATGCCTTGCCCCCGATTAGAGAAAGTCTTGCTGCACCCATGCCTTGTGGGCGGGGTTCGGTTGAGAGACGGCAGCCGGGCTCGTCGAGGACTCGCCGGAAGATGGAGCGACGGCAATGACCTCCGGAGGACACTGGAAGCTGCCGTCGACATAGCCCAATAAATCCTGACCTCGCAGGAATGGGATTAATTGTGCTCTCCAGAACAGAAAGTTCCTGTTCGTTAGCTTCATCGAAATATAATGATGAGCACCGGCGAGTGGGTTCGGGGCGGTGGCCGACGGGGATCCGGCGGCGGACACCGTGCGCTCCGACGAGTTCGTAGACATGGTCGTGAAGTGAGGGGAAAGAGGCGGTACGTTTGCGGTGGAGGGAGAGAGAAGATGATCGACCTTGGCTGATACCAGATTAGAGAAAGTCTTTCATTCAGTTTGAACAGAAAGCGATTACAAAAGATAATAACGTAATACAACTCTAACTGTTCCTATCTAATAGACTTACCTAGTCAACCAATTATAAACCACACAAGTCTACTTTACAATATAACAATAATAAAATAACATTTGGACCTAAAAAAAATAATAAAATAACATTAATATGTAACACAATAATAACACTATTCACACCCCCCACCCCCCATCCCCTCCCCCTAATTTTTTAATATTATATATAATATTACTTTTTTTTTAAAAGTATTATATAGAATATTAAAATTTTATTGTTCCTTCCAAATATTTGGCGACCTCCCTCTTAAATTAATCTCACAGCTAAGTTATCAACTTCTACAGTTTTCTCCCATTTCAAATTATGTCTTCCTTATATTATTAACTCACATTCAAATTAAACATCATTTAACCTATTTACTAGTTTCTCTATATAGAACCATACATATATGCGGCATATACGCTATAACAAGATAATTTATTATTATTAAAATATATGCATATTTTTTAAGTTAATTTTTGTTTTTGATTTCTAGCTACTTGTTTGGATAATTTTTGTTTCTTATTTCATTGTTTATTTTAAATAGTTGTTTTGTTTGATTCTAAATAATGGATATCACGGTGCATTTGTTTGGTTAATTATGCATATTTGTGGTTATGTGATAAATTTTGTATTTAATTTAACATGCATAATAATGTAAAATTGTGTCGTATATGTATTTGAAAAAATAATGTTATGTTGGGAAGATGATAGTTTTCAAGAAATAATCAATAGCCTTAAAACATGTGTGAATGTTTTCATTTTTTCAACCGTACAAAGCAATGTGCATTGAAAAACATATTACAAAATAATTAATTTAATATAAATTCAATTCTAATTGATTTATTTTAAACTTTATTAACTGAATATCAATAATGTATTTGATTTAGTACTTCAAGTCTTCAACTGTAATTCTCCCCCCCCCCCCCCCACCACCCACCCCCCCCCCCCCCCCCCGCGCACTATTCAATCTCGGCTCTGACCCTGACAATATTTCAACTATACTTTTGCATTATTTGAATGATTTAGATTATTATGATATTAATATTTTATGTATGTATTTCTATAATGGTATAATTGTACATTAATTTACAAATATTGTACTATTATTTTTTTATTAGACAAAAATTTAAAAACACATATAATTTTATTAGTTATGTTATCTGTATTTTATACAATTCAACGATTCCTTACCTTCAAATGCATTGATTCATTATATTCACTACATTGTCCATTATTTTTTTTTCTACACTATCTTGTAATTAAATACCAAAGTTATAATACAAAATATGTTATATATTTATTTATCATGTATTATATACAAGCTAATATATTTTTTATGCGCGATGCACAAAAAATAGGTGCCTAATATTAATACTTTATATTAAAATTTTAAATTTATTTAGATTTTAGATATTTAAATTATTGTAAACAACAACAACAACAATAACAACAACAACAACAACAACAACAATAATAATAATAATGTAAAACATATTTATAAATTTGATATTTATATTTTAAGAAATAACTAATTTATAACTTCAATATAAAATGTGTATATATTATTATTATTGAAGAAGATAAGAAAATGTATGGTGGATGCATATGGATGATAACAATATTGAAAAAGATAATGGAAGTTATAACAGTAGGGTATGTTAGTCCAAAATATTATAAAGTACAATTTTTATAGCATAATGTATAAAAATAAAATACAACTTAACGAAAATATTGTAAAGTACAACTTGTATAGCATAATGTATAAAAATAAAATAAAACTTTTAACGAAAAAAAAAAACAGACATAAATGGATGTCATAACCTTCATTCACACTTGTTATGTTTTTAGATATAATAAATATTACTCCGTAATATTTTATTCAATGTTTTCACATGATGATCTACGACACACATCTTACAACATATGAAACATGTAGGAAAAATATCATTGCCAAATATCAACAGGCACTTGCAAGATATATAAAGAATTCATAGTGATCTCAGTCATATACACAGTACGACAAATCTAAAACTTTTTACACCATAATCTCATTGCATGACACTGCATCTATGCTATCACCAGTAACCCAATTGCACATGACACACTGCCAACAAAAAAGAAGAGGATAAGTACTGAAGACGAAGATAATGACAATGCTACCCAAAAGATAATTAAGAAGATTTAGAGAAATACATACCAAAAGTAATATTTATTTAGACTATCGTTTTTAGATTAGCGTTATTACAAAGTTGCAAACATTTATTTTAGTGACAATTATAATCAATCTCTCATATATTATCTTGCATTTATATACTTTGAATTATTGATTGAAATAAACAAATTCAACATTCAATTACCAAACATCTCCTATATAATATTTCATTGACATACTTTGAAGTAATTATTTGGAAATAATCATTGGGCATTATCGCCTATATAATATTACATTGCTATACTTTGAAATATTTATTTAAAAATAATCAAATACCCCTATAAAACTACTATTTTATTTATAAAACAAATATCATATTTTTTATTCAATAACTACTTTTCACGCACATTACGCGAATAATGTCCAATAAAAAAATAATTGGACATTATTCGCATAATATGCGTGAAAAAGTAGTTATCGAATAAAAAATATGATTTGTTTTATAAAATAGTAGTTTTATAGGAATATTCGACTATTAATTTTCAGTGTTTAATTTACGGGAATGAGGAATGAAAATAACCTCCCACATAAGAGAGGTCTATCTGCCATCTGAGCGAGCACAAAGTGCTTGGCTCCAAACGCCTGTTAGTATTGTAGAATTGTTGTGCTTAAAATGTAAAAACGTAACAATTTGCTTCCTATACGATAATACGAATTCCGACAATTCCGAAAGTCTCAACCGTTCCCACAAGCGAAGGTCAAATCTCTATCTTACGGCCGTCAATCCCGAGAATTGTAGCTTTGTTTTATTTTCAGATACGCCCCTGAATTCTCTTGAAATATCAGAATGATCCCTCCCCTCCACTCCAGCACCCACTATATTATATAAAAACTGTTTCTTTATAGTTTTGTCCAAACGTAAAGAAATCCATTGGATTGGGTAACGTGTTGCTGTTCAAAGATAACAAACAGCGGTTTTCAAGAATCAAGAGGGAGGAGATTAGTGAAATCCCAGACGAGGAATCCTGCAGCGTTTTAGCCTCTGAGATTCTGAGATCTATGGGTCCTTGTTCTTGAGAATATAATGTTGTTCGAGATCTGAAATTTGGTTTGTTTTGGGCGTTCTGGGATTGTGTATGTGGAGCTGAGAAAATGGGGAGCAAATGGAGGAAAGCGAAGCTGGCTTTGGGAATGAATATCTGTCTCTACGTTCCCGAAACGCTAGAGGAAGGTCCGGCGACGGCTCCCTCTGCCGCCGGCAGAGTTTCCGACGCCCTTCCGCTCTCTCCCGCCTCTGCCCGGAGCTCCGACTCCCAGATCAACATGCCCACCACCCCCACCCCCTCCTCCTCCGGCCTCCGATTGCCCAAACACAGCTTAAAGTCTTCAAAGGTCAGTAAAAATCGATTCCTATTTTTTTTCTTTTGGGTGTTTCTGTTTATATATGTGGTGGAAAAATAGCTAAACACCCATTACTAATTATCCTTTTATAGTTTTCTTTACTAGTATGTATTTTATTGTATAAATCTCATTTTTTTGTTGTTTGTGTGGAAGAAATCTGGGGTTTCTTGTTTTTGATGTTATTTTATGAAATATATGCTTGTGATTATGAATCTTCATTAGTAGATTCTGAACAGTGAGATGAAGTTAACCCATTTCTTGCTTTTTTAACTGATACTGAACCTTTTCAATTGTCAAAATTGGCTTTGGTAAAAGATAATTGCAGTCAATTATACCAGTACCTCCTTTTCCATTGTTTATTCCCCAGTTTTATCTTTTTTCTATGTCAAGCTTTCTCTTATTAATAATTTCATTGTAGCTCTGTCACGTGGGGTAGAGTTAGAACCAAACCCATCTTTGATGGTAGGTGGTGATGGCTGTAGATATACATGTTGGATTGTTTGTGGAGGGAGGGAGGGGGGGTGGGGTGGTGGGGGGGGTGTATATATATATATATATTGTATAATACTGTAATGTAGTTTTCAGCTCTCAATGTTGTGGTGATTAAAGTAGAGAGGTCTCTTTTGAGGGCCATGGTGGTCCCCTTATCAGCATTGTAAAAGGGTAATCTTTCCTTTTTCTCGTTCCGTTGCTTGGAGGGGAAAGTGCTTTGCCCGGTCAGCAATTCTGCACAGTTTCGCACACACATGATAGTGTTCATTTGGCCATTTTCCATCTCCCCTTTTCATGATATGGTCCAAGAAAAAGCCTGTAGACCGGCGATTGAGAGGGGCTTTCTTTGGTGCGATTGTGCTTAACCGAAACAAAGGGGTTTGGGGGAGAGTAAAGAGTTGATCATAAAAGTGATGGAAATAAATTTCTTGGTGCCAAAACAATGATTTATGCTTCTTTTCAGACGAGTGCTTTTCTAATTTTTAATCGTAATACTGCCTTAGTTGTCTTGAAAGGCTCATAATTAGTTCTTCGGGGGTTTTCTTGCTTTTGGAAAGATAATAATGTGATCTTTCGGTGTTCGTACTTTACAGATATTTCTGCAGCTCTGCATTGACTACTTCATATTGACTTTATTTATTGATTGGTAGACTAACTTATACTAAAATGTTTGTCAATTTTATTTGCAGAAGACTTGTGCAATATGCTTGACGAGTATGAAACCAGGCCAAGGGCATGCGATTTTCACTGCAGAATGTTCACACTCGTTCCATTTCCAGTGTATAACCTCGAATGTTAAGCATGGGAACCAGATTTGTCCCGTGTGCCGAGCAAAATGGAAAGAGATTCCATTCCAGAGCCCCGTTGGTGATATACCCCAGGAAAGAGCGAGGGCCAACCCCCGTGTATATTGGCCTCAAGATGATACCTGGATGGCAGCTCTAAGGCGTCCTCCTCCTCGAGCTGATTCGAATCGACACGGTTCTTCACCGTTTCATGTTGTCGAACCGGGTTTCTTTGATGATGATGAACTTGTTGACCCTGAACCGGTATGCACCGATAAAACCTCACCGGGTAATGCAGCTAATACCCGTTCTATGGGTCCGGTGGAAGTTAAAACATATCCCGAAATTTCTGCTGTTTCAAAGTCGGGTTCACACAAAGATTTTTGTGTTCTGATTCATCTCAAAGCTCCCAAAGCCGACGGGTTCCCACATTCTGAGCTAAACCAAGGCGAATATCCAGTAACCCAGAATTCTCGTGCCCCCGTTGATCTTGTTACTGTGTTAGACGTTAGTGGTAGCATGGCCGGTACCAAGCTTGCTTTACTAAAGCGCGCAATGGGGTTTGTTATCCAACATCTCGGCCCTTCCGATAGACTTTCAGTCATCGCATTCTCCTCATCTGCTCGTCGTCTCTTTCCTCTTCGCAAGATGACTGATACGGGAAGACAGGAGGCGTTACAAGCTGTTAATTCGCTCAGTTCGAATGGCGGGACGAATATTGCCGAGGCCCTAAGAAAGGGCGCCAAGATTATGACTGAACGGAGGTCGAAAAACCAAGTTAGCAGTATAATACTACTGTCCGATGGGCAGGACACATACACTGTGAACAGTCCCCGTGGTGGCCATCCTCGAGTTAGCCAGCAGTCTTTACTCCCGAACTCGATGCATCGCAATAATGGCACGGGTCTCCATATACCCGTACATGCCTTTGGGTTCGGTGCTGACCATGATGCTGTGGCAATGCACTCAATCTCCGAAAGCTCGGGGGGGACGTTTTCTTTCATAGAAGCCGAAGGGGTGATTCAAGACGCTTTTGCTCAGTGCATTGGTGGGCTTCTAAGCGTTGTGGTACAGGAATTGCGGGTTGAGGTAGAATGCGGTCACCCTAAGCTGCAACTCGGTTCGATAAAAGCCGGGAGTTACAAAAGCTCGTTGAAATCGAACAAACGAGGCGGGGTTATAGAATTTGGAGATTTATATGCCGAAGAGGAAAGAGATTTTCTAGTCACCCTCGATATTCCCGGTGTTGATGTTTCGAGCAACGATATGAACCTCCTAAACGTTAAGTGCATTTACAACGACCCCATCTTGAAAACTACCGTGACAATGGATCATGCCGGTGATGTCAAAATCGAGAGGCCTAACTCGATCGGACAAGTGTTGGTGTCGATGGAAGTCGACAAGCAGCGGAACAGGCTCCGAGCAGCGGAAGCGATGGCCGAGGCGAAAGCTGCCGCCGATCGCGGTGACTTAGCGGGTGCAGTGTCGATCGTCGAGCAATCCCGCAAGCAGTTGTCTGAAACCGTGTCGGCCCGAGGTGGGGACAGGCTATGCGTTGCTCTGGATGCCGAGTTGAAAGAAATGCAAGAGAGGATGGCGAATCGACGCATTTACGAAACCTCCGGAAGGGCTTACGTTCTGTCGGGACTGAGCTCACACTCGTGGCAGAGGGCCACAGCTCGAGGCGATTCCACCGAGAGCACGAGCCTGGTGCAAGCTTACCAGACACCTTCGATGACCGAAATGATTACCCGCTCCCAGACTATGGTCTTAGGTAGCCCGTCTCCCCGACAACTCAGACAAGCGCGGTCGTTCCCCTCACAACCGCAACCAAGGTGATGATCTCCTCGGGCTTAGTCTTGAAATAGCTTGTGTCAACTCCATTATGCTTCTTTACTTGAAAAAACTTCATTTTTTTCTTTCTTTCTTTCTCGTTTCTTCTAAACCTTGATAAGCGGAATTTTGGAAGCTGCAGATGAGTAGGAATGGTGGTGGGGGTATATTTTCATGTTAAATGCTCATGAAATTTAAAAGCAGAAAAAGAAAAAAGGAAGGGAAAGGTAAGTGGTGGAAGGGGATTCAAGAGCATTGTACATACTCTGATGATAATATTCTGCTTTCTTTTTGTTTTTGGTTTTGTTCCTTGGAGAGTTTTGGGGTATAGCCAGCCTGTTATAACTTTTGGGCAAACAACTATTTCTTCTCTCAATCTCAATGTATGGAAAATATTTCTATTCTTTCCAGCACTATTTACTTTGCTTCTAAATGTTATGTGGTTTATATTTGCTTTTTATTTTGTGAAATTTGATTTAAATCCTTTTAGAACATGAGTTTTCTAGTCAAAATTGAAAAATAGGAGAGAAAGAAGAAAAAAGATGAAGGCAGGTTGGAATACTTGTGTTCGTGCTAGGTAAGCGTTCGTTTATTAAGGTAAACGAACATAAATGAACAAATTTTAAAGCTCAGTTCATAAACGAACAGAATAATTGAAGGCTCATTTACTAAGAGCTCGTGAACAAGTTCATTTGTGTTCATTTAATAATGTTCTATATGTATGTGTGTGTGTATTAATAGTAGTTGTGTTATTTGATTATTGTTCGTGAACATAGATTATTGGGAAAATTGTAATTTATGCCCCTCCATAATAGGCCAATTATCAATGTCACCCCTGAATTATTAATGGTGTAAATGTTGCCCCTCAATTATCAAAACAGTATATATATTGCCCTTCCCCTAACGGACATGTGGTTAGCCGTTATATTCTACTGTTAAGTAAGGTTAAATAGGTAATTTACTTATTTTTTCCTATTTTCTACTTTCCCTTTCCGCCTTCCCCTTTCCCCTTTCCATTTTGTTCGCCGTTGCAGTTGGAGGACTTGGAGGAGAGACGACACCAGAAACTCAACTCAAACTTCTCTTACCTCATCCATAGCTCCCAACAACACAACCATCAAAAACCATCTTCACATTCATCAAACAATCATCTTAAATTCCTGTCTCCTCCAACCCCACCCTAACCAGCCAACACCCTTGGTGGTCTTGTCCAAGTTCTCCGTCTTCGGCGCCTGCGGCAATATCGGTAGGGTCAAATACATTCTCCTGTCTACCTGTCACCCACAACTCAATTTCCAAAAGTTCTCATCCATCATGGGCTTATCGTCAGAAAATTTCTGGTAATTTCATGAATTCAATCAACAAGAGTTTTCCGGCCAACATTTTTTTCACCGTTCTTGTACTGGTATTTTTTTTTTCTGGGTTTGATTTTTATAGCACTGCTGTGAATGAATATGTGACGGCAGTCTAAGAGAATGGCCTGCGAGATTCTTGAATTATTAGCGAATGTGTTGACGATTCATCCTTGGAATGTGTTTAGTAAATTGCTAATGGATGAACAAAGCAACTCTGTTTTCTGGCTGAACCACAACCCGCCCTGCCTGGAGCTCGTGAAAAACCTGATTGGGTTCGGAGAGCACACCGACCCTCAAATTATCTCCGTTATGAGATCCAACAACACCTCCGACCTTCAAATCGCGTTGAACAAATGCAGCTGGATGTCGGTTCCCCCAACCAACACTCCTTCATCAACGTTAGAGATTCTCTTCAGGACCGTCGTTTTCTGTTGCCGGTGAAAATTGAGGGCCGGGTGTTGTTAGCAAGGAAACAGATTAGAGTTTCCCGCAGGTGTACCAAAGACTACAGGTGTTAGAACCAAAATCAAGAACACTAGCTTTGAGAACTCCATTTGTTGTTTGATGATTGTGTTTGAGTTTTTTGGATTTGAAGAAGGAGAAAGAAACGAGTTCTGGGGTTGGTTAGAGAGAAAGGAAAGAGAAAGAGGATAAACAAGATCGAAAAGGAAGAGGATGGGAAACTTTAAAAAAATAAAAGTTAAATATGAAAGTACCTATTTACCCTTACTTAACGGTGCAATATATCGGCTAACCATATGTCCGTTAGGGGAGGGGCAATATATATACCGTTTTGATAATTGAGGGGCAACATTTACACCATTAATAATTCAGGGGTAACATTGATAATTGGCCTATTACAGAGGGGTATAAATTACAATTTTCCCTAGATTATTTCTTGTTCACGAACGAAATGTGATCATGAACATGTACATGAATTTGGTTATTAAGTGTTCACAAATGTCAACGAACATGTTCGTGAACTTTAACGAACACTAATGAACGCTTAACAAACGAACAAAGACAAGATTTTCAAAAATCTTAACCAACGAACACTTTAAAAATCTTAACAAACAAAAACAAACAATCTCTGTTTGTTAATGTTCGATTCGTTATCAGTCCTAATTGCAGTTATAAAATTTAGACCAAAGTCCACAATGAATTTTGATTCATAGTATACAATTGCTCTTAATATCCCCCAACTCTTTCAATCAATCTACCATCTCAATCTTAGTCTAGGGGTTTGTAATTTAGATATAAAAATCTCTATTAATATGGATTTTTAAAAAAAATTAAATGGAGGACAATTATAAAAAATAAAATTATTGAGGCAATTGGGGTTGGAGTGGCGTGGGATTGTCGGGTGAATGGATTTTTAGGAATTGTAGGTTCATACAATTAGTTCATTTGTGAAATTGTAAGTTATTTATCATGATTTATTTATTTATTTATTAGTCTAACAACTTTTTTATGAGTTCTTAAAAGTGACTTATAAGTGATAAGATTAGACAATAAGGAAATGGCACTTTCATATTGTTGTTATATGTGACACGAATTTGGAGAAGCAAATTTTTGTGCAGTTATTCACATCTTGGACACGCTCATTTATTTATTTAAACGGGACCATAAAAATCTAAAAATCGATCCTGAAAATAGTGATGGGCAATTTATATCGTGCAAAACAGAGCACGCAATACGCGCCCTGATGCAAAACGACGTCATTTTCGAAGTTTTTTATTTATCTTTTAGAAATTTCGCTTTCCTGTGTCGGCTGTTAATTTTCTTTAAAAAAAATCTCATGTTTCAAAAATGTACATAATTGTATAAAAGAATGTATATAATTGTATAACAAAATACATATACTCTTTTTTGAAAAGGTAATACATATAATCTAACATAATACACATAAACTCTTAACATAATACACATAAATTCCCTGTTTCAAATGTACATAATTGTATAAAAAAATGTACATAATTGTATAACATGACGCGACGTCGTTTTGGGAGGTGCCAGGTGCACAGTGCTATGTGTGCCGTGGTGCCGGGTATAACGATTGGTAGTGATGTTGAATTATGTAACCATCACCGGCAAATCCCATACTTGTGTATGGGCCTGGGCCAGAATTGGTTTTGTCGTTGTCGGATTCTTCATCGGAATTTCGGAACCCAGCATTGACCGGTGTCCCCGCAATTCCTAAAACTTTGTTAGCCTCTGCCGGCAATTCTGGATTGAACCACGCGCCGCTAGGCCCGACCGACATGGTCCAGTTAAACACAAACCACTTTCGTGTTGGGTTGGTTGTTGGTATAACTCACCACATGAATCTTCTGACACGCCAAATAAATAATAAATTCTCCCTAAATAAATGAATACATAAGAAATTAAATTCATATTTAATAAACTAACGCTGCAGAGTAAATCACTTTGACGTTATTAACGCGAATTACGGAATTGTATCACAATAATTAAAAAAAAAATTAATTTAACTAGACAAGAAAGTAACTTGATTCTTGTATTAAACTCATTTTTATTTACTTTTACCTGTGTTCTTATAATTATACTCTAAACGTGTATTATAGCTCTGTTGGGCAAACCTAGCTAAAAAGTTATAAGTTAGGAGCTAAAAGTTGAAAAGCCATAAGCTCGAAGCTGAAAACTGAAGAGCAGTTAAGCTAGCTGTTATGATTGAAATTGTTTGGTAAAATTAGCTTTCTGATAAGCTGATAAATGTAAAAAGACTAAAAAGGACATCTTCATAAATTTTAAATTAGTTTGTTTACATATTAAAATTTAATATTGTTTTAAAAAAAAATTAACATTTTGAAATAAAACTATTAGCATAATCATGATCTAGCATCTCATAATAAAGTAGTAATATTGTTTGCAAATCTCATAATAATAATAATAATAATAATAATAATAATAATAATAATAATAATAATAATATTTGCGGTGAAAGTTGCGGATAAAGAAGAAGAGAAAATGGTTTTAATTGGGAAGGGTAAATTATGTCATTTCTTTATAATAATAAGGATAAGGATGGAAAAAAAAAGTTAGGAAGCTGGGAGCTTATTTTGAAACACAACCTAAGGTAGCGTTCCAAAATAAGCTCTTATTTTAAACTAGGAGCTTATTTTGAAAATATTACCAAACAGAACTTATAGCTTATTAATAGCTTAAAATAAGCTATAAGCTCCTAAATAAGCTCTGTCAAACAGAGCCTATGACTCTGTTTGGCAAACCTAGCTAAAAAGCTATAAGTTAGGAGCTGAAAGCTGAAAAAGAGCTGAAAGCTGAAAAGCTATAAGCTCGGAGCTAAAAACTGAAGAGCTGTTAAACTAGCTGTTATGATTGAAAGTGTTTGGTAAAAATAGCTTTTTGATAAGCTGATAAATGTAAAAAGACTAAAAATGACATTTTCATAAAATTTAAATTAGTTTGTTTACATATTAAAATTTAACATTTTGTCTTTTAAAAAAAAATTAACATTTTGAAATAATAACATAATCATGATCTAGCATCCCATAATGAAGTAGCAATATTGTTGCAAATCTCATAATAATAATAATAATAATAATAATAATAATAATAACAATAATAATAATAATAATAATAATAATAATAATAATAATAATAATAATAATAATAATAATAATAATTGCGGTTAAAGTTGCGGATAAAGGAGAAGAGAAAAATATTTTAATTGGGAAGGGTAAATTATGTCATTTCTTTAAAATAATAAGGATAAAGATGGAAAAAAAGTTAGGAAGCTAGGAGCTTATTTTGATACGCTACCTAAAGTAGCGTTCCAAAATAAGCTCTTATTTTAAGTCAGGAGCTTATTTGGGGAACATTAGCAAACAGAGCTTATAACTTATTAGGAGCTTAAAATAAACTATAAGCTCCTAAATAAGCTTTGCCAAACAGAGCCTATATATGGGGGTGAGGGGAGGGGGCAGCTGCCCCCACTGTGGGTATGTCCTTGGTTGCCCCACGCCCACCTCAACCGCAAATTATGCTGTGCAACCGAATGCACCTTGCAAGGTGCATACGATTGCAAAACGGCGCCGTTTTAGTTAAAAAAACGCGCGTCCCACTTAAAGAAGAAATCAGGTTCGATTCCCGGCAATAACATTTTTATATATCCAGAAATTCATAACTATATAACCACAATTTCATAACTATATATCCACAATTTCATAACTATATATCCACAGTGAATGAATGAAGTAAAAATCCACAATGAATGAATGAATGAAGTAAAAATCCACAATGAATGAATGAATGAAGTAAAAATCCACAATGAATGAACTAAATATCCACAATATATGATTGAACTAAATATCCACAATGAATGAACTAAATATCCATAAATTCATAACTATATAACCACAATTTCATAACTATATATCCACAATTTCATAACTATATATCCACAGTGAATGAATGAAGTAAAAATCCACAATGAATGAATGAATGAAGTAAAAATCCACAATGAATGAACTAAATATCCACAATATATGATTGAACTAAATATTCACAGTGAATAAACTAAATATCCATAAATTCATAACTATATAACCACAATTTCATAACTATATATCCACAATTTCATAACTATATATCCACAATAATGCTATTGCTGATAGTCGAACTTGATATTTTTTTTTTAAAGTGGAACGCGCGTTTTTAATCAAAACGACGTCGTTTTGAACCGTATGCACCATGTGCATGGTACATTCGGTTGCACAGCATAACTATTGCACCTCAACAATCCTAATAGGCCAAGTATTGTTAACATTGTGTGTCTTTGTACTTTGTAGTATGCAAATTGTAAATATTTAAAAGGTAAATTGTGAACATTTGGATCCTAATCCACCCTGCCACCAGGGAGCTAGGTCCACAAAATAATTTGCCGTCAAGTAGTTGTAAGACAAATATATATTTTATTTTTGGGTCATAGTAAAAACCCTATAGTCATTATTTGAGAAGGTGCTTCAATTCACTCTTATACAACAATTCATAAATCATACATAAGAGATAAACCACACTAAAAAAATCATGTGTAAATGTGTAATAGGTGTTAGGAAATTAAAAACACAGGAAAAACAAAGAATCAAATCACTCTAGGCCTGTATCAAATACATTTTTTTCAAGTTTTTAATTATATTGTAGAAGCAACATGTGTTTTAAATAAAACTTATAAGATACAAGAAATTGACAAATTAAACGAGTTGTAACAACATAATAGACAAATTACATTAAGTTGACAAATTATATAAACCTTCCAGAGTATTCTACCATGCAAAGTAAACCAACTTTAATTTACATAAATTTTCTGGGAATATATAAGATATTAAAACCCAATCAATTCCTTTAGGATTTAGACCCAGAAGATGATTTCTTTTCAATAAATGGCCAAACAACCAACATTATTTATCAACACGTAATAAAAGTTCATGCTACCAACTCAAAATAATAGTTTACTGTACAATACTAAAATATTATTTAAAATTTTAATTAGTAATCATATATGTCTGGAACTTTAAGTACCCATTACTATATAGATATCTGAATCATTAAAATTGTATAATTTGACATGGAAACAAACATGGTTGTACACTGTACTAGAATAGTATCACTTGAAAATATAAAGGCCATGTTTGGTAACATAGTTAGTTTATCAGTTAATTTAAACTTTTTTGACCACTATTAGTTGTTTGACTTGGTTAAACAGTCACTATAAGTGTATGTTTGATTAATTCACTTTTTATAACAGCTCATTGCTTCAAAACGTTGAAATTCAAAAAGCTGCTCAAAGTAGTTTTTTCGATCACTTTTTTGAGAAAGTCATTTTGTATGTAATCAACGATCAGCTAATTTACCAAACACTTTTTTACAATCAACTAATTTTATCGACTAGTCAAACCCACTAACCCAATCAATTAACAACTATTTACCAAACACTCCCAAAAATCATTTCTACAATAGCTAGAAGACACGCAATTTAAACATGCATGTTGGTATGTATATGGATAAGTAAACTTGGAACGAAATGATGTTGGAATTAAGGAGACTTCAAAAAAACACCAAAAGTATTTGGAGCAAATTCATTAGTCCAGCCGCGGACAAAAATGTCCGAATCCACACACTAATTCGGATAATACACTGTTGCAACTCATCATTTTAAGTTCTAAAACCTAAAACCTTTTTCAAACCAAACAAAACAACACAGTGCTTCGTGGACGTATGGTTAAAGTCAAAGATTTTCCATTATGGGCAACAACAAATTATTATTATTTTTTCCTATTTTATATGTTTGATTAACAAGAATTAACTTGTTTTTTTCTTTATAATATTATTTATTTTGGCATCCTAAATAAAAATGTACATATTTAAAAATTATGTTAATATATATTTTTTAATTTTAAATCTGGAATCTGGATGGGGAGGTGGAGACTGGGAGTTTCCAAGTTAGTCAACGCCTCGGATCTGGAAAAAATTAATTTATTAATTATATTTAATAAGGTTTCATTTAATGCAAAAATCAGAAAATCAAATAAACAAAAGCATATAATCTCCATTGGCTCCACCCAGTTCCGAGCTTTTTTCTGGCCTTGCCTTCATTTCCTTATTTCATCTTTTGTCTTATCTGTTTCTCCCTCATCCATAATCCGAGGTTTACTCTTATTACATTATATTTTATTACATTAAATAAAATGAAATTATTTGTGTTATTGGTTCCTCAGTGGAGGCGTTATTGGTTCTTTGTGTTTCAGTAGGTTGAGAAAGTATATGAACAGATACTACAATGTAATAGAGCCAGTAACTTTCAAAAAAAAAAATAAAATAAAATAAAATGAAATTAACACTCGGTACACATCCTCTTAAGGGCACTACGATCATTGTAAATCACGATATAATTATATTATATTGAGCAAGTAGCAAGAGTTAAAAAAAAAAAAATATTATAATAACGAGAGAAATTTGTATTCACTTCCCGCCTTGTAACCCTAACTGACAAGAGACTACAAGAATATAAATAATTAATTTCTCTTTATTCATTATTTAATTTGCTTCAAAAAAATAAAAAAAAAATTACTAAACGACTCCTCTATATTGCACTTTATTAGATTAATATATATATATATATATATATATATATATATATATATATATATATATATATATAAACTAATAGTGAGAGCCCACATTAATATTTCATATTTATAGAACACTTAACATTTTGTAATTGTGTTCTCTCACTTCTCTGATTATAATGAATTAATCAAAATTTTAACAGACAAACACATCCTTGATCCATGCATCCCCCTCTCACTCCAGTTGTCCATGATTAATAATTCTGTATGTAATGTATAGTATATATTATATTATTTTACACATATATATACATTATAACACATATTTTATAATTTATTACATATATGCTATATTATTATCATTAGCAGTGGAACTATCTATTTATTTTTCATTTTTTGAGCTAATAATATAATTATTTATATATTTTGTTATCAACCAAACAACAACATATTGTTCATTTTTTCTTGTGACCTCCATTCTGGAAAGTGATACTACTGCTGCTCAACCAGAAAATCTTTTGTATATAAAGGTCCTGTTTGATAAAATGATTGTTAACTGATAGCTGTTAGCTGTTAGCTGATTCTGTTAATTAGAGTGTATAAATAGTTAATAACATTAGCTGATTGTAGAAAAGTGTTTGGTAAATTAGCTGTTAGCTGATAGCTGTTCGGTGTAATTTCTTTTCTCAAAAAGCTAATTGAAAAAGTTGCTTGGAGTAACCTTTTGAATTTTAGCCTTTTGGAATTGCAAAAAACTAATTAACCAAACATTTATATTGATATTTTAACTAAATCAAATAATTAATAGTGATCAAATAAGTCAAAATTGGCCAATAAGTCAATTTTTTACCAAACAGGCCAAAATACTTTTAATAAAATATGAACCAAAATGTTGAAAGTCTTATGGTAACTGTTCTTCCTATAAAAGGAATAAAAGAAAGAAAGAAAATGAACTGGCTGGAGGCAACTGGCAGTTTGCAAGAAGAAGGGATCAGAGAGAGGCCTTGTTGTTGCATTCTCAGGGCATCACAAACAAACAGAAGCCCAGAATTTAGCAAGTTCTTTCCTTTTCTCGTTCGGAAAATCTGAGGTTGCCAATTGCCATAATCATATGATTTCTGGATTCTCACTGAAAATTCCTCAATGGGTGTCAGAAAGTCTTAACTTTTGCTACCAAAAATGGCGTCTTTTTGGTGGTTTTCTTGTAAAATAATGCTGGTCAGCTCTCTCTCTCTCTCTCTCTCTCTCTGATTCAGATCATGGCAAGCTTTAGTTTGTAACTGTTCGCATTCATATTTCTTGCATTTCTGTACGTTTTGTGTTTGTGTTTATGTTTATATGTTTATATTTGTTCTTCTTCAAGAATCTTTAGTGGGATTTTATACATATTCTGGCCCCTATTATTGGATTTTTCATGAACTTATCTGAGTCTGCAATGCATTTTGTATTATGGGTTATTGGAATTGAATTTCAATATGTTTACTATTTTGGGTCTTGAATCATACTGGTTCTGGTTCAGCTGAGATTAAGAAATGTATGATCTGTGAGAAAAGGTCACGGGCTCAACCCCAGCTTTTAGCCTTAAAGGAAAACCAAGAATCTTACCTACTTTATCTGCAATTTGAGTTTAACTTTTTTGTTTCTTCACATGATGTCTGCTGAAGCAAAGCACAGCTTGCCATATTGGTGGTGTAGAGCACACTAGAGGTTGTTTTCTGGTGATCCTTAATGCTGTCTTTCACAGATTTCCTCTTTTTACCTTGTACAGATCAAAACTTATAATTGAAGCCAGGGCGAAATATTTCATCAGAGAAAATCATGGCTTACAGTAATTCAAAGTCTGTAAGGTTGTTCTTTAATCTTATTCTCAGCTAAATCAAAACTTGTATATTCTCAACTTTTGCTAATTATTAGTAGTTTTAGTTTTTCTGTTTGCTTATCGATTTAGCTTGTGTAAAAATGTGTTTCAGATTCCAAGATGATCTTGAATCGGCCAAGTATGTAAGTAGTAATGGAGGAGACAATGTGATTAAGGTGAAGTACAAGATTGATGGATCGAGGCTGGTAGAGCCAAGCTCTCGAAAGGGGGAGAATGGTGGGAAGAGCGGGAAATCGTTGAAGGCTAAAGTACTGTCACGAGTTTTCTCGGAAGACTACGAGAGAGTGAAGAGGAAGATCTTGGATCCTCGAGGGCCTATAATTCGGAGATGGAACAAGATCTTCTTAGTAGCTTGCTTGGTATCTTTATTCGTAGACCCTCTGTTCTTTTACCTGCCAGTTTTTAGGGGCAACTTCTGCATAGATATCGGGATCAGGCTCGAAGTTGCCCTTACGGTTATAAGATCAATAGCTGATGTGTTTTACGTATTTCAAATATATGTCCGGTTTAGAACTGCTTATGTTGCTCCATCTTCTCGAGTATTTGGGAGAGGGGAGCTTGTTATTGATTCTTCGAAGATAGCGTTAAGGTACTTGCGAAAAGGCTTTTGGATTGATGCCCTTGCTGCATTGCCTCTTCCCCAGGTAGGAGAACATGTTTTTGGCACTTTTAAGGTTGTTAGCAAATGAAAAGGTTTGATGTTTGGATGGCAATATGGCATATATCGCAGGTGTTGATATGGGCCATCATCCCTAATCTCGGTGGCTCATCGATGGCAAACACGAAAAACGTTCTTAGATCAATCATCATCTTTCAGTACCTCCCTCGACTTTACCTCATATTCCCGCTTTCATCCCAAATCGTTAAGGCTACTGGTGTTGTGACCGAAACTGCTTGGGCCGGGGCTGCTTACAACTTGATGCTTTATATGCTCGCAAGCCATGTAAGTAGAATCGAACCGACCATATGAGATTGCGACTTAATTTTTATGTGATGATTATTGATTATTGATTATCGCTCGTTTTGGCATAGATATTAGGAGCTTGCTGGTATCTACTTTCGATCGAGAGACAGGAAGCGTGCTGGCACCATGTCTGCACTCTCGAGAGCCCTTCGTGCCAATATGATTACTTCGACTGCAACAAGGTGAAGGACCCGAGACGAAAGTCGTGGTTCCTCTCGAGCAATATTTCGGAACAATGCAACCCGGATAGTACAAGTGGGTACCCGTTCGGGATATACAAGGATGCTTTGACAGATTCTGTTACATCCGCAAAGTTTTTCAACAAGTACTTCTACTGTCTCTGGTGGGGTTTGAAGAATTTAAGGTAAGTCGCTCTCTCAAACTCGTTTAACGTTTTCCAGGACATTATAGGATAACAATTTGTGCCTATTTGCAGTTCTTTGGGGCAAAATCTTTCTACAAGCACTTATGTTGCAGAAATAACCTTTGCCATCGTAGTTGCAACTCTGGGTCTCGTTCTTTTTGCGTTGCTTATTGGAAATATGCAAGTATGGTGACACGACTCGATTAAATTGCTGTGTATTTTCACTTTTCAGTGTCCATTAAACTTATAACTTGTGCTTGCTGGCTGGCAGACTTATCTGCAATCGACCACAGTTCGGTTAGAGGAATGGAGAATCAAGAGAACCGATACAGAACAATGGATGCATCACAGGCAGCTACCTCTGGAGTTAAGGCAGTCTGTGAGGAAGTATGATCAGTATAAATGGATTGCGACGAGAGGAGTTGACGAGGATGCTTTGTTGAAAGGTCTCCCTCTGGATCTTCGTCGGGATATCAAACGCCACTTGTGTTATGACCTGGTTCGACGGGTAAGTTTAGTGTCACTATCAGCTTAAACTTTTAGTTGAGATAGAAAACAGACAGGAAACATAGTACAATAAACTTTTAGTTGAGACAGAAAACAGACAAGAAACATAGTACAGTTATTCACTTGTCAGCTTAAACTTTTAGTTAAGACAGAAAACAGACAGGAAACATAGTACAATAAACTTTTAGTTGAGACAGAAAACAGACAGGAAACATAGTACAATAAACTTTTAGTTGAGACAGAAAACAGACAAGAAACATAGTACAGTTATTCACTTGTTAGCTTAAACTTTTAGTTGAGACGGAAAACAGACAGGAAACATAGTACAATAAACTTTTAGTTGAGATAGAAAACAGACAGGAAACATAGTACAATAAACTTTTAGTTGAGATAGAAAACAGACAGGAAACATAGTACAGTTATTCACTTGTCAGCTTAAACTTTTAGTTGAGACAGAAAACAGACAGGAAACATAGTGCAGTTATTCACTTGTGCATATATACATTAGGTCCCCTTGTTTGATGAGATGGATGAGATGATGATAGATGCGATTTGCGAGAGGCTGAAGCCGGTTTTGTGCACCCAAGACACGTGCCTGGTGCGGGAGGGTGATCCTGTCAACGAGATGCTGTTCATAATCCGAGGGAACCTGGATTCCTACACCACGAATGGCGGGCGCACTGGATTCTTCAACTCCTGTGGCATTGGCCCGGGGGACTTCTGTGGCGAGGAGCTGCTGACGTGGGCGCTGGATCCCCGCCCCAGCGTGACCCTGCCATCCTCGACTCGAACCGTGAAAGCGGTTTCCGAAGTGGAGGCGTTCGCCCTCGTGGCAGACGACTTGAAGTTCGTGGCAGCACAGTTCAGAAGGCTGCACAGCAAGCAGCTGAGGCACAAGTTCAGGTTCTACTCCCACCAGTGGAGAATGTGGGCTGCAACTTTTGTCCAGGCGGCTTGGCGGCGATACAAGAAGCGAAAGAGCGCCGCTGAGCTAAGAGCAATGGAGGAGGACGAGGGTGAGAGCGAAGGGAAAACGGCGAATGGGAAGGCGGAGATGAAGTCCTCACGGCCTCCCGGTTCGGGGTTTGCTCTCCACGCTGCGAGATTGGCAGCGAGTAGAAGAGGTCACCATAGGCGAACGGATTCGGATTCTGGTGCAGTTAGCTCACTGCAGAAGCCTGCAGAACCTGATTTCTCTGTAGATGATGAATGATAAGTGAAACATGTTGAAATGGGATCAACTTTAGAGGGGAAAGATGTATGAATTAATGTTGGTTTAGTTATCATAATCCTTTCCCAGTTGGCTTCAATTCTGCAACATCATTGGCAGCAAGTTAGAATACAAACTAGAAATTACCATCAAATTCAGATTCTCTACAGATGTTAGAATTGCAATGCAGAAAGGCAAAAGTTGTAATATATATATATACTCATGTTTTTCTCTTTTTCCCCCTTCATACCAACACTAAAGTAATACTCTATTAGAATAGGCTTATTATTTTATGGCATAAGGCACATCATTGGTGAGACTTCTTGATTCCTCTACTTGGGGAAAGGAGACAGCTAAAAGCTAAACTTAGGTGTGTTTTGTTAGTGGGTTTTGCCCATAGGAATGGGTATGAAAGTGATTGTTGTTGTTTGGTTGATAGGTTTTTAGAACACTACTATGAGTTTCGAATACCCCATCAATTGAAAAACTCATACCCAAATAAAATAAGGGTTTCATTCCCTTATTCATTCTCAAGCACTACTATTAGTAACCATTCTCATTCCACCATACTACCAAACATGTTAATGTGTTTGGTTCGCACATAGGAATCGGAATCGGAATGGGTATCAAATACTTGGTAATGGTAATGGGTTTTGGTGAAAGTATTTAACATGTTTGGTAGTAGAGTGGGATGTATATTGCATTCATGGTCCACACAGCTATGTGAACCATGATCCACAGAATAATTTGTTTACTGAATGTACATTATATGATAATATATAAAAAATTATGTACTTTTAAATAATGTACTTTTAGTATATTAAAAATGTTTTTTTTTTTATTTATGATTCACATAAATGTATAAAGCATGGTTCATGGGATAATGATTGGAGGTAGCCACCACGAGTGTCCATAATTTATTATCTTATTAAAAAATTTCAAAAACTAATAATAATAATAATATTTACATAATAAAACAATAAAATTCACTAGTTATATTAAAACATAAAATAATAAAAATAATCAATATAATAATTAAAGTATTAATTTTTTTTTTTCAAATAAACTTATTAGTTTAAAACAAAAAAATAGTAAAAAAGAATAATGAAAGTTATAAAAACTTTTAGAATTAATTACATACTAATACTTATTATGATGTTTATATAGTAACAAAACAACATCATCATCAAGGGTTTAATTTTGTAAGACTAACTTCCAACTACCACTCCACCACCCACTATTATTTAAAAATAAATAAAATTGATCAATGCAAGGTGAATATCTGCATGAGGATGAATTGAAGTTGGCATCTCTAAATTGCAAAAATAATCATAACCACGTTTTAGTAATATTAGAATTAGATCGCCGTATATAGTTATTGATAATTCATCCATTGATTCGTCCCGTAATATATAAAATAATAATATTATTAAGATGTTAATAATTTTTAATATGAATGACCACCGATTAGAATTATCACTGTTTGGTTTGAAATGTGATTCTAATTTATTAAAATTGGGAATCATAATTGGTTGATTCAGGTTCTGAACCCCAAAAATTTAGGAAAAAAAAATAGAAAACTAATTTTTAAGAAAAAAAAATTAAACTAGCGGTTCAAATCAAAACCTTACTAAAAGATTCCAGCACTGATTTGTCATTTTTTAGAACCGTGAACCAACGATTTAGATTCGAAACCAAATTACAGGTCATGTCTATCACTGACCACGCAATATTTAAAGTTGGAGTCCATAAAAACTAACAGCCCAATTGCATGTAACAGATTTTATAGGCAAATTATACCGTGTGACCAGGTCCAAAACGACGTTATTTTGAATCTTTTCGCGTGTCTGTTGTTAACTCCTTAAAAATAATATTTCATGTTTGAATGTACAGAATTATATAATAGAATACACAGAATTTTATAACGAAAATTTCCATGTTTCGAATGTACAAAATTATATAATAAAATGCACAGAATTTTATACCTGAAAATTTCCATGTTTCGAATGTCCAAAATTATATAATAGAATGCACAGAATTATATACCTAAAAATACAGAACTTACCAAAATGACGTCGTTTATGCGCGGGCGGGGCGCACATAGTGGTGCACGGTATAACGATTGGATTTCATAGGGCATTAGAAATAGGCAAATTATACCGTGGATCATGGTCCAAAATGGTGTCGTTTCTTTTAATGAAAAGATCGAAATGACACCCTTTCCGCGCCGTTCCGCATAAAGTAGATTTGTTTGTATAACATATTCAATTTCATTTTATATACACTGTAGTTTCATTTCAACACAAGTACAATTTCATTTCGATATAACTACAGTTTCATTCGACATTATACACTCAAATATGTGAACCTGTTATTCAGTTTCATTTTATATACACTATAGTTTCATTACAACACAACTACAGTTTCATTTTATATACACCTGAGTTTCATTTCAACACTACTACAGTTTCATTTCGATATAATTACAGTTTAATTCGGCATTATACACTCAAATATGTGAAACTGTTATTCAGTTTCATTACAATGCAACTACAGTATCATTTCGATATAACTACAGCTTCATTGGACAATATACACTCAAATATGTGAAACTGTTATTCAGTTTCATTTTATATACACCGCAATTTCATTTCAACACAACTCAGTTTCATTTTAATTCAATTACAGTTTCATTTGATAATATAAAAACAATATGTGAGACAATTTCATTTTAGATAAACTGTTGTTTCATTTTGTAATTAACACACAAAAAATACGAGTTCCGTTAAACTGTAACGATCTGTTTATTTACTTAAAGAAACGGCATTGTTTTTTACTATGGTCCACGATATAATTGCTATTAGAAATATTATTTAAAGTCAAGGAGTTGAATTTGCATTTTTTGGAGTAAAATACAAGTTTTTGTCTACCAAACAAAAGCAGTTACGAAGTCACACATGAAATGTTCATTCCACCTTTCTGTCTTGTATTATAAGACTGGACCAATCTTTTAAAATCTCCAATATTAGGTGATCCCAGCCACCCAACATAATATAAACATTTAAGCTTACCCAAAAAAAAAAAAAAATTACAATATAATATAATATTCTCTATAGTAACGACAATATTCTTTCAACTCCTTTAAGTAAAAGATTTTGTATCGAATTACGTTTAAAAGTCATTCAGCATAAATAAGAGGACTTAGACTGAATTACACATAAGGCATATGTTAAAGAGTATTCACGAAAAAAATAATAATAATAATAATTGTGAAATCATGTTATGTATTTTGGTATATAAAATAAATTTGGTATACGTACAAAAAATGGAATTTGTTTTCAATAGTATTATCTTTTACCTTAAAAATGATATATATTTTACTTTAAAATAAAAGTTGTTGCTACAAAATTATTATATTTGACTAAAAATTAATAAGTCTTACGAGATGCCCTAAATGTGCTATGTACTATTCATTGACAAGTATTTAGTTTTTAATTAAAGAGTAATACTTACTAATTTTAAAAATATTACATTTTAACTGAAAAGAGATTGATTTTGCGAGATATATAGAAATTAAACAAATGGTTGTTAAGGTTTAAAACAAATGTATTTCTGCCGTCTCACTTACACAAGATCAATAAAAAAAAAAATGGCTCAAGTTGCAACAATGAACTAAAAAAAGATGAATTTATATATAATGTTACGTTATGAATTCAACTAAAATTAGTTAAATGGATTCAATCATCGATCCACCCTTAATTTGACTTGACAAATTATAATAAAGGAATTCTGACTGTTGCTAAAATAGCAGGCCGGGAATAATGTTTGTTGTTAAATAATATTATAATAAAATAGAAGAATGATTGAAGCTAAGCAAGCAAATTAAAGTCACGAGTCGAATGGCATTGCTTACGTTAACAGAAACCAACTAACCACAGCTTATGTTAAACCACCAACCGCGCGTGGGCGTGTAGTCAAATATGGTATAAAACAGTTTCTTCTCCACTTTCTGCATTCTCATTCAAGCAACTAAACGCAATAACTCCGATCCTCCTCCTCCTCCTAGCTTCCATTCCCGGCCTCCACCGCCGTCCGCCGCCACCACCTCCATCTCCGCCGGTCACATTCACGTGGAGGAGGTGTATTGGAAGCTAGCTACCCAAATTTCCTTAGCTTGTAAAGTCTTCATATACATTGCCATTTTTGAGATCAGTTCTTTTTCCAGATTTTTCAAGTCTTCTCAGTTCGATCAGCTCAGCTGCTTAATTATACACAGGTATGTAAATTTCTATATATTTATTTGCATTATATTATACATGTGTCTGCGCGCATATATATATATATATATATATATATATATATATATATATATATATATATAAAGGTGCGTGAGTTTTGTGCTTAAGGTGCGTGAGAGTTGTATTTAAGATGCGTGAGTTTTGTGTTTAAGGTGCGTGAGTTTGTGTTCTGAAGATATTTTGTTGGTGTGCGTGTGTGTTGTGTACTAAAGTGCGTCAGTTTAATGCTTAATGTGAGTCCAACCGCATGGGAAGCCTCCTCCCGCACCTGATCCCTTCCCTCTATATATATATATATATATATATATATATATATATATATATATATATATATATATATATATATATATATATACACTATCACAAAATTCATATAGTAATGTTGTTGAAACATTTTTTAAAAAAATGGGCATACACGTGTAGATATACACACACATTTATTTATTTGGGATCTCTTCCTCATTATAGTTGTCTCTCATTAATTCTAGCTTCTTGATAAAGTAGAGAGATGGGAGAAATGTCAAGCTTTCAAGTTGGTGTTATTGGGGCATTGTTCCTATCCGTGGCATCATCGGTATCCATTGTTATTTGCAACAAAGCCTTAATGAGTAATCTTGGTTTTAAGTTTGGTAAGTTTTTTTTTTTTGAGTATATTAAGAATTTTAATACGAATTAATGATGTTTTTTTGTTGTATATATATAAAAGATTTTTTTTTTAAATTAATTTTTTTCAGCTACAACATTGACGAGTTGGCATCTAATGGTGACATATTGCACTCTCCACGTTGCACTGAGACTAAATTTCTTTGAGAACAAACCTGTCGATTTTAAGACAGTGATGTTGTTTGGCATATTAAATGGAGTTTCTATTGGTTTTTTGAACTTGAGCCTTGGCTTTAACTCAATTGGCTTCTACCAGGTAACCCCTTCTTGCCCAC